ATAAAAGAAAACAACAAAAATAGACATAAGAAGACCTAAGAGAACCAAAGTTATCATTAAAATAAGCTTCAAGAGCAGCAAGTATCCTTTAGAGAGCCATGTGTGTCATGACAAAACCTATGATTATTGAGAGTATTATTCAGGGTAAAGGATTTACAAAGTTTCTTCAGAAGAATATATGCTTAAAAGCAGGTGTTGGGGGTCCTAGACTAGCCCTACAGCGTTCAGGACAAAGAGACGATGTGAGATCCAGACATCCAGAGGCACCCAGGAGAGTGGGAGATGAGATTACCTGGGGCCTGACTCCCAGAAATGTGCAATTTCTTAGAGGAACTGCAAGCTGTAAATGATTTGAGGCGGAGGTTTACCTTTCATCAGTATAATGAACATGCAGCAGTGGATTGGAACAAAGCATATCAATGCATTAGAATCTATTACAATGGCCCATTTTAAGTTCAGACCTGAATCTAACTGACTTTGTGGTACGGCTGCAAAGCTTACATTTGAGCTTTTAAGCTACTTTATTAGGAACTACTGTAACATCATGTGTGAAAAAATGTGCAAGAGTGGACAAACCAATTTTCATGCATGGAACACACAGAAGCAATGTTTTATTTTAGCACCACTTTACAGTTTTTAATGTAATCTAAAAGCCTTAGTTGACAAAACATGAACATTTGATGTGAATACTTTTTTTTTTTTTTTTACAGTGTCCTGTCTGGCAATGTGGCAATAAGAATAATTGTCTTGATGCCAAAAAGAGCCCAACAGATTTTACTTTCATAAGTGGAACAGTAGGGCTATCGCCATAGTGTTCCGCTTGTTTCCTGCATATAAATTGCTTTATAATAATTATGCAGGGAGTTTTACAGATTATATGGACACTGTAATGTAGAACAGAAGAGGAAAAACAGAAAAAAAAAGATGAAAGAAAGAGGAGATAATAGGGAGATAGTGTGAATACTTTTGTTGGGCAGTTTATTTGTCAGTAAATCTATCAGGTCAACACTGTCACACTATTTAGGGTTTTCGCATAAGCAAAATAAACAAAATGTATCCAGGTGCTGGATTTTTGCAACAGATTCTGGCGTAGACCTTCAACGTCACTTTTTGCTTTCATCTTCAGAGAGAGACATCTTGTTTGTCACACATGCATAACTTGGGCCTGAAGGAGGATCATCTGTGGTTAAAAAAAAAAAAAAAAAAAGCGAGCAGTCAGAACCTTTTCTATGCTCACTTCTTTTTTTAACACTTTTGCATTTGTGCTTTTTTCCGAGATACACTTAGCACCCAAGAGGAAATAACAATGTGACATAAAAGTTTTTTTTAATCACCCCCTGGGGGCAATTTATTCATGTCTTTGAAGGTCTTACATTTCACATAAGTGATATAAACCCAACACCAACCTGTAGGGAGTTTATCTTTTTTTTTATTTTGTTTTATCAAATAATAAACTTTCACTCTAAGCATGATATACTGCAAAGGTTTGTAAATTTGTTTTAAAAGTGTAGATTAAGTAGATTAAGGGTTGTTGTATGACCATGTCTTTTGTGACTGTAAAAGTATTTTTATTTGTAATGTCATTTCATGAAGCACTTTGTGATCACTATGTCTGTGAAAGGTGCTATATAAATAAACTTTACTTACTTATTTACATATTGATAATGTCCTACCTGGAACGTGGTAAATTCTTTCACAAGAGGAGTAGATTTCATCCCCAGCAGCCTGAACCTCACTCTGATTCCTGATGGAGACATTTATTCAGGTTTAAATACAGAAACTGTTTTATATTTCTGGAAAAAAAAAAAAAAAAAAACACATGGCAGTTTCTAACTTAAAGTTCATTTCCCTTTTAACAGTTTCACTTTTTGTCACTGTACAAACTCGAACCCAACTGAAACTTTAAAGGGGACGAACAAAAATGTAATTTTTGTTGCAAAAAAGGACACAAAAAGATTTTTTATGAAGCTCTCTTGGTTTATACATTGTCAGAATAACGATTAGATGGAGTTTCAGCAGGTATGTCTCTACTGTACTGTGACATTTTATTTGGGTTTTCTTTTCAACATAACTTAAAATGAGTTTATTTGAATTAGACTTGGATTTTAAATCATTCTGACCCATGGATCCGTGCATTTAGAAGTAAAAGCTCTACTCCTATCAGTTTCTATCAGGACTGAACTGCATTTATTGTAGCTCAAAGAGTCTTATCACTGTGAAGCTTTCCATAGTTACAAAAGATACGTCTCACTATTCTATTCTATATTCTATTTTGACTCCAAATGTGCCAGATCCTCTTTTGACATTAGTTTCTTTCTTACACTTCTTTATAAAAGGTCATAATTATGGACATTGTCCGTCAATGTCTGGGTAGGTTTGCAGTTTTACCACATACAGATAATAGACTGAGCAGTAATCTGTGAAACATTCAACCTTCAAAACCTTTTCCTCACTCTAACTTCTCCCTAACTGGCCTTTCTGCTTAGTTGTGGTCTTTTTAATGCTGCATCTTTTACTAATGTTCTCTGGTTAAACCTCTGAGGCTTTTATAGAACAATTGCAATCATCCGGAGAATTAGCTATGCATGCTACTGTGAACTATAAATGCTAAATTGCAACATCACAAGGCTGCAAGCTTTGACTATCTTAGGGGTATCAGGGTAAAAAGGGTAGCATATCCCTGCATGCCACACATGTTGATAAGGAATTTAATTTAATATTGAAAACATGCTAACCTCAGAGCTTGTAGAGATAGATGTGCATACTTACTGTTCTTCATTCTCCATGCTGAAAGAGTCATCTTCCCCATCTGCTTAAAAGGTTTTTGTTTAATGGATACAAGCATCGTTAAGCTATTTGTTATCCATATCAATTTATCTTAGATCTTATCTTAGAGAAATATTTATGCATGAAAGAACTGTTGAAATCAGTTAGACAGCATCACAGTAGGACTTTCTACTCAGCATTTTAAAGTTTGAAATAAAGAGAAAATCATATATTTTCCCCTCTTCTATATTAAAATAGACATGTAATTTAAAAAAGAGGGGAAATATTTACACTTTCTAAATCATACGCTACTTTAAATATGCATTTTCTAAAGCATCTCTTTATGGTGATTTAATTACCTTCATGGGGTTCATCATTCATTGGCTCCAATTTTTCTGTGTTCTGCTCCTCACGATCAGAGCTGACAATCCTAAAGAAAGAACATTTGTCTATTATATTTTTTTAAAATTATGTTTGAGTTCCTCTTAATATCTTCTTCCAATAGGGGGTATAACTAATCCTAAGCTTACCATGGCGTAAATGAAGCTTTGAAGCTGGTTTTGTGATAGATCCATCGCAGAAAGAGACCAAAAAGAACTATAAAGACTATTAATCCACAAGACATAGCTCCCCAGGAGATGGATTCCTCTGAAACATATATCACATTTTATGATTGAGATGTTATAAGGTGAAATAAATTCTGAAAATAAAGAATATGAGCTGTATAATCCCACCTTTGACAGCCAGAAACACGTCATTGATTCCCTGTAGCTCCTTCCATTTTGTCTGATAGCATTTAGATGGCAGTAAGAGGCAGCTGTAATGACCTGAATCCCTCCCGACTGCACCTTCAATGACGAAATAGGCCTCCATCCGAGAAACATCAAATACTTGCAACTGAAGGAACGTTTTATTCTTCTTGAGGGAGCAGTAGATGAATTGACAGTTACTGATGGTGTGCAGGGTTCTAGAAAAGCTGCATTTAAACTCAATACGGTTTCCCTCATGAACCGAGGCGGGCCCAACTACAGAAAGGACTGCAGGGATGAAATGGGCTGCAAAGAAGTGAGAAAACATCAGCATAGAGAACCCCCCCAAATTGTGCGATAAATATATAAATAAATTCTTACCTATAACTAGAATCTCAACATCATCCTGTCCCGTTCCAGCTACTGCAGTAAGGTTGTGACTTTCAGTTGAATAAAAGCAGCTGTAATTTCCGCTGTGATCAAGACTAACATTAGATATTTTAAAGGTAACATCATTCAAATTTTGCTTCATTGTCATTTTCAGAAATCCTTTTCCATTTTTCAGTAAATATGCAAAATCAGAGGGTTTAGCCTTTTGCCCATAAATGCTGCAGGTTACATAAAGATCACTGCCCTCGCTTATAGTTCTCTGCCGGACCAGGATCTTTAAAGGGAAAAAATCTACACAAAAGAAACAGACAAATGTTGCATTATTTTCTCTTAAAATTCAGCTAATAAATACCGAATCAACTGGTTCTCACCATTGGTTTGGCCAGATACCAGAATTAGGAAAATGCCTTGAAGACAAAAAAGTGTCGAATCAAATAAATTTTGAATCTGCAAACATAATTGAAACATAGATTCTGTTTTGGTTTGCTGTCAGTTTACTTACAGAAAACAGCAGGTATGATAATCATCTTCAGCAGCGATCTGACTCTCTCACACAGCTTCTGTTCGGACACTTTCCTACTCCCCCAGATCAAGTGGGCAGAAACTGTACAACAACACTTCCTGGTTCTTCTTCTGTCTTTTATATTTCAGTGCTTTTTTCCAATAAAGAAAGTCATGAAACACATGATTTATAAAAGAAAGCACAACTCCCAACACAATCATTGCATTAAAGATGCAGAGTCTTCCCTTACTTATCAAGTTTATGCTCTGCACTAACTAAAAAGGCTGCAACATTAAATGGTTAAAGCTACAGGGGCCTTTAATATCACCATGATTGTGTGACAACCCGACAGCCTATTTTCAAAGTGTTGCATATATTTGTGTTTATTAATACTTTCTAAAATCACATTTTTGCTGCAGTTCTTATAGACTTAAACGGTTCTCAAACTTGCTGGGGTGAATCTGTGAACCTCTATTTCCAGTCCTGCCATCCATAGATTCTCCATTAGACTTAGCCCTGGACTTTGACTGGGCAGCTTGGACATAAACATGAGCTTTGATCTAAATAATCCACCGAGACCCTCACTGTTTTGTTCACTGTTGCCGTGAGAACGTTTTTTTCAGGCCAGAGGAGCATGCACTCTTAATTTTCTGCCAGAAATAGTGTTTGGCTGGTAGGTCAAAGAGCAGAATATATTTTCCCTTATATGACTTGTGACAAACTGTAATATGGACTTTTATGTTGTTGTGTTTTTCTTTCAAAAAATCATGTCCCTCTTGCCGCTCTTCCATAAATGCATGATTTTGGAGAATCCAACTAATAGGAGGCCGAGTTTTCCTCATACAGTAGTTACCTTAGATTGTCTTGCCTGATACCCTGTGGTCCCTCTTTGCTCGGCCTGTCAGTTAAGGTGAATAGTTCTTTTCCCCTGGATTCTGTTTAGAAATATAAGGGTAAAAAGGCCTGGACACATTAAGTAAACACACCCACATATTTTTATTTGTAAAACATGTGACTTAACAATTCTGCACAATTTTATGTCTGTCTGTCACATAAAATCTCATTAGAATTTTAATTTAGGTTACTGGTCGCCCTATTTTGACCATTATCTTGATTCATATCTTTAGCTCTAAGCTTTTTTTAGGCAACATTTATGAGGGTAACGAGAAACCCATTCTAGCAGTGTCTTTACGGGATCGCCCACAGAGCAGCTATACAAGCACTGAGAGGATTTGAATCTGAACTGACTGAGTCAAGCTTGTCTCTCCCATGTTTCGTCACACAGTGGCCACACAAACACACTTACCTACAAAAACAGCCACCCACATGCACAAACAGCAAGATAATCAGTGACCACAAACATGACTGTCACACGTAACTTTGAAATTCTTTTGTAGTAGCAGAACAGGAAACAAAGCTCATCATAATTTCAAAAGAAAACCCTTAGACCCATTGGGTTACTCTGTCAAGAGTTCAAAGATTAAAATAATTAGCAGATAAAAACCACCATCATCTGATTTACTCCTTTATTCATTTTAGATATAAAATTATTTTAAAAAATGCTGCAAAAAAATCTAAACTTTCATTTTCAAAGAAGATTTATTTACCATATCATTTTAAATAATCAGTTTTTAAATTGTGGGTTTGCTTGTAAGAAGTTTCTGTAATGAAACGTTACCATTCCGACCAACCAAGAAAGTGCCAGTAGGTAAAACCTGCAATAACACAACATGGCCACATGATGTCGCTCTTTGAAATGGTTTATACCATTACTTGGATTCTCATGAAGCCATTTCATCCCTGTCAGAATGAAAATATTTGAGTTTTTAATTCTTGTTTTTTCGCTTTTTAAAACAAACGGTTTGTTTTTCGTAGCCTTGTGTCATCTCAATGGATTTAAAAAGCGTTGGAGAAGTTTCTACTTGCTCAATATTAACCACAGATTTATTAAAATTAGTTATTTTAGGCCTATGTTTCAAAACAAAAATATTTAATGGAGTAAATAAAAACTAATATTTTGACAAACTTTTATACAAACAAGTAAAAATCAATTATCTGACTAGTTAAGCTCTTACAGTAATATGTTAAATATGATCCCTGTTTTATCAGTAAGATCATAGCGAGATAAAGCAAAGAAAGAACGTTTACAATATTCACTGATGATTATTTATTTATCTTCTTTCATCTTTTTGTTACATCCTATTTTCTAAAATGGATTTTCCTGCAGTTTTGGTCCAGAGTGCCACCATATAAAGGCAGTAAGAAGAAAGGTTATCTGTTAGGTTTACCCCTTATTATCCTTCCTTTCTCTCTTTGTGTGTCAGATAATCCCCCAACAAAAAGATCTATATCAAAATATATAGAAGAAGGAAGGAGTAGGCGACCCATATACAGATGTTTCACTCTTTGATGCAGTCATCCCAGTTTTATAGTCCCTGTCCTGTGACTTTTGTCACGTCTTCTCCATCCCTTTCAACCATATTTTCTGTCTGCAAAATAATAAATATAGCTATATACCAGGAGTAGCTAAAAAGTTTGAAGTCACTGTAGGAATCAGGGTTAGAAAGGAGGGCTACAGTTGATTTAGAGACGATTCTGGATTAGATTTTAGAAGCTTTTTCTCCAAATCTTAAATTTGAAAAACAGTTTCTTCACTCTGTAGGGAGGGAGGTATACCTCTGAGGGAACCTTTTGATGGGAACCATTTGCATATATACAAAATATGAACCTATCAGAGTTTAAAACTATTGAAGAATAAATGCTGATGATTTTAAAAAATGCAGAAAATAAAGACCATAACGATAAACATCTTTTAAAAATTACAATATATATATTTTTAAAGCAAAATAATAATACTTTACTTGCTATAAAATAGCAAGTAAAGTATTAATAATAATACTTTACTTGCTATAAGTTAAAAGAGGAACTAAACTGTAAAGATGCTGTGTGTGAGAACATCTTAAAAATAGTGGGCATTTTCATTCTCATGAATAAAAAGAGTTTAAATAATTTTTTTAATTAGATAAATTAAAAAGTAAAAACAAATTATTTTAGAAGAGTAAACAATATACTTTATTTGAATAAAAAAGAATTAGATGTAAATTAACGCTAAAAAGTAATGGATTTGCAAAATATATAGTATATATATAGTTAATTAATTAGGTTATTTGCTTTTTTTTGTTTTTTGTTTTGCATTAAGAAAACTTGTTTTAGTTTTATTTATCATCACAATACCAAAAGAAATTGTTTAAACAGTTAAAAAAACAATATCTGACATTAATTTAAAGCGAAAGGAGAATAAAAACATACTGTATATCTCTACCTACTCCTTTTAAACATGGAAGAACAAAATTTAATATGATAAGATGTTACTTAATTTACATCACGCAGATGTTTAAAATATACTTTCACCAAAATGCTAAACCATTTGACTCTATGATGGCCAATTTCATTTAAAACAACATAAATGAACATTTATTTGACCTTAAATAGCTCCTTAAAGCTATTTAAGATAGAATCTGTTCACCCAGTCAAATAAATTCAATAAATTAATGTTTTTACTGTTTAAAGCAAAACCTTATACATTTAAAAACATTTCCCTTAAAAAGAGTGAGATTATGCAGTGTGTGAATATTTACAACATTATTCTGGTTTAACTGCAGCAGATTTCTCCAGCTGATCTTACTACATGTAGAACATAACAGCTTAACAGTCAGCATTACTCTTCCTTGATATTTATTAACATATGTGGTTGGTTAACATTTACATTTTATTATTTCATCATCAGATTTCGGTGAGATTTGAGGGCAGGTTGAAGAAAATGAAACCATAATAGTGTGTCACAGATTTATTAGATTTATTATATAATCAAGACAATGTCAAACAAATAGAATAGTAAACACAAAATCCTATGCATTTTCTCTCTTCGACTTTGCGCCTTTTGTTTTTTTCACCTTTCAAATAGAAGCCACAGTCTCATATGTGTGGGTTAATAGTATTTTTAAATTCAATCAAATATCATCCCCGAGTAATAGAGGCTGGAGGAAGAGGCCAGCTGTCCCCAGGATACAGACAAGGACAAAAACCCAGAGAAAGATCCTATCGATAACCATGGCAACATACTTCCAGTCATCCTGAACCTGTGGGACCACAGCAACAAAAATGGTTATTGTTTTATTTTCAAGAGTGTTTTATGATAGATTTTTTCATGCAATACGAACTTCTTACCTCTTTCGCTTCATTCTGTAGTCTCATGTTCTCTGCTATGTATTTAACACTTTCAATTGCCTCTCTGACTTCAGGAGACAGAGGCAAAACTGACAAAGCTCCTCCATCCAGAGACTCTGAACTGGAGCAATGACTGTCTTGTCTGGTCCCAACACCAGTGTTCCCGGTCAGCGCCCCAAGGCTTCCCAGTCCACCACCCCCACCCACTGAGTCTGACGGCAGTCTGCCACATCTCTTCTGCCAGCAACAGTTACAGCGGCCTTCACAACACAGGACACCAGAACCAGCACATTTGTCTTCGCTCAGGTTGTTCATGTCAGAGAGCTCCGTGTTGTTAAAAAGCCGCTGGCGGTTCGTCAAGCTGGACACCACACTGGATGCCAAAGCCTGGGGCTTATGTTGCTTTTGCAGGGTGCTGGAAGAGTGAACAGTGCAGGATCTCAGATGCATTGTCTCGACACTGCCAGCCACTGTCACCTTCTGCGAGTCCCTATCCGGCCTGGTCATAAACATCACTCGGGGCAGAAGACCCAGAAACACGCGACGCACCCAACAGGGCATAGTGTGAGTCTTAGGCGTGCGGTAGTGGACATTCAAGACAAAAACGGTGATGACAATGGAGAGGGTGATGAATATCATGGTGAAGAGGAGGTACTCGCCAATTAGAGGTATGACAAGTGAGGTGGAGGGAATGGTTTCTGTTATGACGAGGAGGAAGACAGTCAAAGAAAGTAAGACGGAGATGCACAATGTGACTTTCTCACCACAGTCGGATGGCAGGTAGAAGACAAGTACAGTTAGGAAGGAGATGAGGAGGCATGGGATTATCATGTTGATGGTGTAGAAAAGAGGCAAGCGGCGGATGTACAAAGAGTAAGTGATATCAGTGTAGATCTCTTCGCAGCAGTTGTACTTGATGTCGTGCTTGTAGCCAGGCGCGTCAATAATTATCCACTCGCCTGTCTCCCAGAAGTCCTTGAGATTTATAGTTGAACCAATCAGTACCAAGTCAATCTTGGCCTTGTCGTAAGTCCAGGAACCAAACTTCATGGTGCAGTTTTGGTAGTCGAAGGGGAAATATGTGACATCGATTTTGCAGGAGCTTTTAAATATAGCCGGAGGGATCCAGGTGACGTCACCGTTGTAGCGAAGCAGAGCCTTTGTTTTATCGTCTACCTGGAAATCTCCAACTGCACTGTGAACAACATAAGAGTAAAACTGATGAAAATGGGCAATACTGGTTAAATACAATTAATAATTAATGATTTGGTGATTTGGAAGAGGCTTATGCACAGAAGGGAAAATAATCAACTTAAATGATTTGTTAGTAAAATAAATGTGAATGTTATTGTTGACATTAAATCCAAAATGGATTTCCTCAACACACAAGTAATGCAAAAAAAAAAAAAACAAACAACAAAAAAAAAGCTGTCATATGTGGACGCACTGCATATACTGTATATATATCCCGTCCACCTTTTCTTCCTTTGGAGCTGATTTAGCGAGTAAATTTCTCCACTGTGAGATAATTACAATCAATCAATCAATCAATCAATCAGTGCACACATGTAAATCATTTAAAAACCAAAAAAAGAAGGAATTACAAGAAATGGGTATCAAACACGTAAAAAAGAAGGTTTAAAAGGCATAAATAGCCAAGAAATGTGCTGAAATCTGCCACTATTTAGAAAGCGGTCCTAGTCATTATCAGTGCAATTTAGATATCATGTTTTTTAATCCTAATTGATGATTTATAAAACCATTACCAAGGTCTCACAGAGTATTCCCTAATAATCACAAGCAAATGGTCCTCTGCAGACCTTTGAAACATTGTGGCATATATAAAATCATTTTTATTTTATTTTTTTTTACCTCTTCTTAATCCTGTTTTCCCTGTGAGCATTTTCAAGATTTCAAACTATTTGTGTAGAAGAACAACAACCAATAACACAGCCAACAAACACGTTCAACTTGCTTCTTCAAACAGGCGACATTTTAAAGTTATTACCCAAAAAAATGCTTTAATATTTTTTTTTTAAAACAAAATATATGATAGTGAGAGTGTTTAACACTTATTCCCTGTCTTCCCAATATCCTTCATTTGGATTTATTTGTATGTGTGGATCACTTTGCTATTAGTTGGTTGTTCTGGTGTGAGAGAATACATTCATATAAAGTTGCCTTGTTCAATAATTGTTTAGCAAACTGTGGTTTGCTAAAGATGCACCAAAATAAATATAGAAATAAATGTCAACTTACTTGTTGTAGAGAACAATGTCCGGCTTCCAAATTTTGTTTGATGGAACTCGTATAAACTCTACTCCACCAAACTCTTTAGGATCCCATTTGAGTTTATAGTCATTCCAAATCTGACAAAAGGAAACAATTATTAATACACAACACAAGCAACATCATAATGACATTAAAAACACCTGGAACATCTTTAAATAAAATCTGGAATTTTTGTTTTTTGTACATCCAGTAACTTTAGTTAATCCAATTAAACTTGATGCAACATCGAAGCATCTGATGGGTTTGAACCAAAAGCCATCATCTTTCTGCAGATGGTTCTTCACAGTAATTGGCAGCAGGGGAAATCAAGAGTCAGACTCTGCTTTATTGGACAAATACGGTAAAACACAATAATATAAACTGCATGTATTCAAGGGGGATCACTTGAAATCATCCTCTGAGAGACCGTATGTTGTCTGTTCTGTTGAACAATGCCAGTCAAACTTAACTTTAGCTTTTAAGAAGTGACTACAATTAATGCTGCAAAATAAAACAAACATGTTCGATTTGGAAATTGATTATTTTTTATTTAGGCTGAATTTGGATTAATGCGTTAATAACACTGAAGATCGATGTGAGACTTTTCCAGTTTTTTTCTTCTGTCAATATTATTTCTAGCTAGTTTTAAATGCACTCTTCTTTTGTTTTGTGATATAAGTAGAGCTTTTACTGCTCCTTGTTTATTTATCTTACGCTTTCAAGACAATTTTTTCTGCACCCACTCTGACCTCTCTTTCTTCTTATTAAATCCTGTGAGACTCATTAAAACACGACCATAAACCAAATTCTGTGTTTTCTGAATAGCTGCTTTGATTAAAACACTGCACATAAGTAGAGTAAATTGCCAAACAGTGATGGGCAGCAGGGGAAATTTAGCTCTTCAATAAAATTATTATTTTTTCCAAAATCATTGAAAACATTGATAATGATGGAAGGGGGAAGTTTGCATTGTTATTAAAACCACATGGTATTAAGAAAGAAAAAACACCGTATGTTATGTGGTCGATGGGGAGCGGTGGCCTTGAGACCCACTCCCACAGACTGCCACTCTGGGTCTCTGAGTAAGACCCTTAACCCCACACTGCTCCCTGGGTACCCCATGATGTCAGCCCACTGCTCCCCAAGGGGATGAGTTAAATACACTTCATTTCTCCGATGTGATCAATAAAGTTAAATTATTATTATTATACTGTAAATCCCTTTTGTTACCTGAGATTGTTTCATAATGTCCTTATAAATACATTTTAGGGTTAAGAACCTTAAAAGAGTGGTTTAACAGAGAATTTGATCTTAGGAATCTTGTCTTGTACACAACAATACATAAGATTTCATTTTTAGCAGTTTTGCTCTATGTGGTAATGGAATACAAAGTTTGTTGTTCCTTGTATTTGTTTATAAGGAGAAGATGGAAAAGCAGCAGTGTTTGAATTTAATAACTAGTCAATTAAATTCAGTAACATTATGAAGTCACATCTATGTGTTTTAAGTAATGATGATTTGTTTCAGTCTTGTCGTTTTTCTACTTAAATTAAGAACAGTCTGATAAATGCCTTTAAAAAGCTTCCTGCCATAGTAGTTAATCGTTGCAGTCCAGGCAACACAGTCCAAGTTCAGTTTGGTAAAACACCATTCATACACAGTATTTCAGAGTGCCTTTCTTTATTTATTTTTTAGACCTATTTCTCTCCAAAACATATCTTTGGACTCAGCTTTTACTGAGAGTTATTATGTGCTCTCTTTTATCCCTTTGACATGAAACTGCCTCAGAGCTCGTATGCTTAGCTGTTTATTTTCCCCACAGAGCCACCTCAGGAGCTAGTTTACCGTTACCTTTTCCAACATAGAAAATATTCTCTCCTTAAACCCTTGTTGGCCTTGGAAGATGGCCGCTCACACTGGGCCCGGTTCTGTTAGTGGTTTTTTTCTTGTTAAAGGGATTTTTCTTCTCCACTGTCGCTGCTTGGATGCTTTGTTGGAGGAATTTCTGTTGATTAAATTAGTTGATGGAATAAGCTGGTTTTCCTTAGATAGAAAATTTTGAACCAATCTGACTATTTGATTGAATTTAATTGTCTCTGTTAAGTCCTTTAGATATGTCAAATTGGCGCCATATACATCTATAGAATTTCAATTTCACAAAAACAAAAGTATAAAAATAAAAACCAAAAACGTACTGAACAATAAAAAAATAATAATTTTAAACCACGTCCCACTTTGTTTCGTTCCGGTAACTTTCTGGTTACCGTAGGGGTTGGATCATATCTAATAAGCATCTCTGATATGTGTTCCATGGAATGTATTATAGACCAGCAACAATATTTAAAATAAATCTTTTTACATGCAGTGTGTAAAGGTTCCTACTGCCTGATTTATTACAGAGACCTTTAAAGACAGCTTTCAAATGCTCTAGTCTGCAGAAAATAAATGCATGCATCATGTTTGTGTCATTTTGTCAGGAAACTCTTTGAATTATTGTAAGATGGGAGTTGGCTAGTTTAGTAATAATACTTTATGTGGATGTTAACATTTAGGTCTGAGTTCCCCAGGCAATCAAGACATACAGTACTGTACGTTTTCTGGTCTAATTGAAGCTAGCTTAGTTTGATTTCTAAACCTAAACTTTTTGCAATAAAAACATCTGGGTTTTCTGCATAAGGTCTGAGTTAATGTTGATCTATTTATAAAATGGACACAAGAACTTTATTAACCTTCAATTATGATCACACTGAAATATAAGGTTGGGTGTCATCAGCGTAGTGCAGTGTTCTCTAGTGACGGCTAGACGTTAAATAAAATTAAAACACAAGGTCTGCCAAGAAAGATCAGACCTAATCCAGCACAGTACCAGGTTTGTCCACCCACTTTTCCAGTCCATCTATCAGCCCAAAAGAATCATGTAAAAGCAGACCTGGTCGATACTTCATGCCTTTGCTAATGGTTTAGTTTCTCAAACATACACCGGAAAACTTACATGTCTCAGCCACAAATTGGTTTCCATGATCTGATTGACTTCATCCTAAAAAAAAGGAACAGATTATAAGGACATCAGTGTAAAAGTAAAAAACAAAACCCAAAACAAACAAACTCACATTTGTTACCATTTTAGTAAAAACTGTCACAATACAGACGTCTTTTTTCACATGTGATGAAGAAACTTAACCCAGAGCAGTTTTTTTCTTTCTGCGAGGTCACGTTTTGGTAAATCCCAAGAATGACGATGACGAGACATGCACCTTAGTCCTCTGAGCCTCATGCAGAAATGCACAACAGCTGGAGCTGCTAGGTCAGTACACAAATATAACTTTTATTTTTATAAGCTAGAGCACAGCAGCTAAGGAGAGGAGGGAGAAAAGTTGCAAAAGTCAGATTTATATGTGACTTAGAGCGTGAAGGAACCACACTTATAAGCCAGTGCATAACATTAATCATGCATGTGACCATATGTATGCAGATGAGCTCGAAGGTTCAGTGGTGAGCACAAGTGAGCAAAAAGTTCAAGCATAAGATCTGGTTATGTCTGTTTACTAGCAAAGCAAGCAGAGTACCATGGGTGAGCCTAAATCCCGAATGATTGCAGCAGCCCCAGTAATGAGCTATTGATGGTCTAAATGAACTCATAGAGGCGTGATGTAATTGGTTTGGATGAACCAATACCATTTATGGCTGGATTAGGAGCAGCAGGTGTTGCTGAGTGAAAAAAGTCATCCATCAGCAGCTTAATCTCAGTGGCTTTCTCTTTAAAATGTGTTTTTTTTTTTTACATTTTCATGCACCTGGACTCATCTCCGGGGATGCCACCAGAACTAGGATGAGTTTCTGTAACCAGAAAGGTCCTTCATACTTCTTTATTTCAATAAATCTTTGCTGAGATACTGGACAGAAAAAAAACATGGAGATGAGCAGCAAAATATCTTATTCTGTGTGTTCTATTGATGCAATGTCCTGCAACAATAGTTATATCTCTTGAACCTTTTTCAATTTTAATAGACATTACAGTCTCAAACTCCTTTATATTTGATTGGAATTACATTTGAGAAATCTGCTCCAAGCTCCATAATACCCAATGTGTTAAATTATTATTATTAATGAAAATCAAATCTTTATTGGCATTTTTGGCAACTTTTTTTAAACATGTTTCATATCTATAAAATAAAACAGTCCTTTTGATAAGGTCTCCTAGTTTTTAGGGCTAATATAAGTGATCAAATAGCATCCTGAGAACCAATGATAATACCAGGCAGATAAAGATTAAGGTTTTTTTTTTTAAAAAGAGTTTTTTTTTTTTTTTGTTTTTTTACTTCAAAATGGAGATTTTTCATCATCTGGAAATGAGTCAAGTTTGCAACAAATGCATATCTAAGACATGGTGATCTACTTCTTAAACCAGGCCTGATAAATACATTATTAATCTGACAAACAGCCAGCCGGGCCATGGTGACTTTGGAGATACAGAGACCATAACCTAAAGTGGAAAAATCTGTTGACAGGGCATCTATTAGGGGTATTAATAGAAGTGTGCCAAGAATGAAATGGCAGATGGAGGAAAGCCATAGATTTCTTGTTTGAGGTTAGCAGAGCCAAAATATGAATGAAAGAACAAGGGTCTGAGGAGACCCCAAATCCTGACCCAGCATGACACCAACGCCCTGTAGTAAAACAAGGTGATAGAAGCATCATACTGTGGGAACACTCTTCTTCTGTTGTGAAGCTGATCATGGTTGAGGATCAGATGTATAAAACTGCATAGGGATACCCTGAATAAACATGTTAAAGACGGCAGGACAACAACTGTAGACATTCAGTCAAAGTTGTAATTTCATGCTAAATATTTTTACATTTTATTTGTAAGAATGACCCACTTAAAGTCAAAACCTAAATCAGATTATAAGGCAAGGGCAATACTAACTGTTGACCAGCTTTTTTCTTCTTTTTTTTCCAGCTCTTTTTTTTTTTTTTATTGTCATTACAGTGTAACAAGTACAGAGCAACTAAATTAACTCTCTGCATTTAACCCATCCCCCCTGGGAGCAGTGGGCTGTCATTGTGCAGCGCCCAGGGAGCAATGTGGCAGTGTGTCCTAACCACTAGGCCACCACTCCCAACCACTAGGCTGACCAGCTTAACTTAAGCTACTTTACGATGGTTTACTTTTTTGTTTTTCCAATCTCACAATTATCTACTACCGTATGTTTTTTCAATAAAATTTAAGATCTACTAAAAGGAAACATAAAACCGGTTCAAGTGATACTAACATTTTAGCAATTTATTGGAAAAAAGACATGCAGTTCTAATTTTAAAGCAAAAATGAAAACAATTTAAGTTTTTCTTCTTAACCTGAAAAATAAATTAACATACATAAAACAAAAGGCAGCCTTACAGTCACTGACCTACCAGGATCAGTCCAAGAAATGTATCTGTGATCGACAAACTAGAGTAAAGCCCAACATTTAAATAAGAAATGCTCATCAGACCAGGCAGTGATATTATGAAGGACTGCTAAGAGCTTCTGAGACACCTGACATTTCTCAACCAGACAGGCAACCAGACTCATCCTGTCTTTGTCTATTTCCTTCCTCAGGTAGATAATCTGTGGAATGATGTGATCTGACATGTAGAGTCAAAGGTGTGTCAGAATGCATCCGAATTGTGGTACAGATTTACACAAGGTTATTTTATTCTGAGAATAAAAAAAGAGTATCTCTAAGCTTTCGGTCATGTCTACTGACCAGAATGATTTATGTCTGTTGTGCCCCATAAATAACAGCAGGCTTAGACTGTGCAAGGAAAAAAAAAAGAAAAAAGCCAACCTTTTTATCATCCACTTACCACTTTGACCAGCTGTGACATGGACACTTCAAACTGCACAATGACCGGATCAGACACATTCTCCACTGGCCGAATGTACTGATTGTAGTTGGAGAATATCACCGAGAAGAGCTTATGCTCTGCTTCTGAACATGTGCCTCCTGCACCGGAGCAAACGGTCAGACATGGATCAGTGACTGCAGGATTTTCCACATGGCAGAAGTCCAAGTCGTGCATTTCTCAAATCATTTCTACACATTCTGTGCTATTTGACCTGCATGCTGTTTGATCTCAGTGTATCATCTCAAGTCACTCAATAAAAAGAAACTTTATTCAATTAGTCTTTAAGTTAAAACAGAAAGTTTTAAATTTTTTGAATATGCAGTTAATGGGATAAATTAAATAGTTTTTTTAATAATGAAAGGCTTCAAGAATCATTAAGCTAATGTTTGAAATTAATAACATAAATCAAGAAAAATGCAACAAGTATACAAGCTGATATAATTTCACAAAAAATGTCTTACCTGAAAAGAAGTAGAAAAATATGATGTAAAATCTGTTATCCATCCTCACAGAGGACAGATGAATCAGGGGTCAACGGCAGCAGAGCTCCACGATGCAGACAGAGGAAGAAAGAGTGATAGAGTGTGTGCAGCTGCAGACTCAACCAGAGAACACGGGGAGGGAGGCAGTGGCACAGTCAAACACACAGCCAGTCACCGAGAGGAACCACACAGCACACAGATGTGCACGCTATGGTTAGTAAATCAAGTCAGACACCAGGAGGCTTTTTTTCTCTTTTATACTGCTGGATTTTTGTTGTTTTAAAAACCAAGAAAAATCTTGCAAGACTATATGCTAATTACTAAGCAGCCTGAAGATTCAGAAAAACAAATAAGTTATGCTGTCAGCAGACCAGTTGTTATTCACTTGGGGTTTCCTCTCACAAACATTCATTATGAAATCTAAATATTAAATCTAGACTCGCTGTCCCTCTGGGGTTTGGACAGCCTTCAGTGGAACAGTTCCTCATTCATTTATTTGTTTCCTTTTTTTAAAAAATGAAAAAAAAAAACAAAAACAAGCAGCTTTAAGGTTTTCTTGATTTTAGGGGAAACATTCAAATGTTCCTCCATCAAACCCTAGAAAATGGATTCAAATTAGTCTCTTCTGGCCTAAATTTGTCTCTTTAGCTCTGTGGGGAAAGAAAAGACATTATTTGTCACTTGTGAAAGGGAATCTGTTGGGATTTACGTAGCATTTATAGAATTCTGACATGAAAAAATAATTAAAATAACATATAAAAAAGTGGAGAAAGAAAAATACTATTTGCTACCATAGAGTATTAATGGCCAGCAGGGAATGAAAAAAAAAGTGTTTCCAGCAGTTAAGAGGCTAATCCTGATTCTAAAAATTGAATCCTAAAAAAAATGATAGACAGCAGGGTGTTTGATTCCTGCAGAGGTTGCAAGATTACCGACTGTCACTCTGGGTTCCTGAGCAAGACCCTTAAAGTTGTGTGCAGTAGCACACAGCTCCCTGAGGGATGGGTTAAACACAGAGGACAGAGATCGCCACAGTGAAACTATAATTGAGTCTTTCTGCTCCTGCTGCACCTCATTTAAATTTGTAGATTTATGATTGGGTGTTTACAGTGGACTTATTTATCATTTTGATTGATAAAGAATAACACCCTTGACCAACTATACCCACTGTGAAACATGGTGATGGCACCATCATGCTGGGGGGATGTGTTCTCCTTAGGAAGGACTGTGAAGCTGGTCAAATTCTCTGTAGAAGTGGTTCAACCCTAATTAAAAAGGGAGTGTCGACCTAGTGGTTTAGTGCGTTTGTGCTCTGAGAAGGTTGCAAGTACCTGGTTCGTTCCCCACAACCTGCTCTCTGGGTTCCTGAGCAAGACCCTTTACCTCACACTGATCCCCTAGCACCACACACTGGCAGCCCACTGCTCCCCCAAGGGGATGGGTTAAATGCAGTGGTGAATTTCTCGAGTGTGAGATTAATAATGTTAACTTAAAATACAAGACTTTATTAAGTTTTGTTTTTTCTCAGATCACGGTAAACTTGTTTGTCAAAATATTCCAGAATTTGATCCAATTATGAAACTATGGTGAGATCTGAAAAGGGGTGTTTACAAATGTCAATCCTATGGAACTTTAAGTATTTTGCCAAGAGAAATTAACAGAAACTAAAAGCTTGCAAACTATGTACACACCGAAGAACATACAGTTGTTTTTTTAATTGACAAATGCATACAGATTTCTTTCAAACAAAAAATAAAACAAAATTCGGATAGATAATAAAACAGGTTTTCTTAAGATGGCAAAACAATGTGAACTGTATGAATTTAGAAAAAAATTATTGAAAAACTAAATTATAATGTATCTATACCCTTCTAAATAATCAATAGAAAATAGATTTGGCCTGAAAAAATTAAATGCTTCCTAAACAGCCTTTTGAATGTTTCCACTGTTATTTAAATGATCTCTTTTTGTTTCTCATCACTTTTTTTTCTCATCCCTTAAATATTTCTCAACAAATTCTCTTAGATGCATGCTGAGACTCTGGCTTGATGACGTTTGGCTGAAGTTCATGGCGGCTTTCCAAGCTAACAGGACACACTTGAATCCCCCAAGATGTCTTTTGAAAAAAACAAAGCCACTTGGAAGTGAAAGAGGTGGATGAGAAAACAAAAATAGACCATTGTCTCACTAAGAAACACAATTACACCATTTTTGATTAAAAATTTTACATGTCTATGTATTGTTTATCCTAATAAAAACCAATGAAATAGACTCTTTCAAAAAATTTTATGGGTGTGAAAACTTTTAAAAGGCACTTTAAAAGAATAAGTGCCGCAATGGTTTGACAACAAAAACATTTCGCTAGACTTTTTTAATTAAAAGTTGGAAATCAACAAACTGGTAGGAACATGAATGAATTATAGATTTAGATTTATTCTAAGTTTGGTTTTTTGAGAGACGTGTCGAACAATTCTACTTGATCTTTTTGCTAATAACTGTTCACTTAAAGAATCAAATAACAAATAAATGACAGTGAAACTTGTAAACCTGAAGGCCAGTACAGCAGTTTTGTCCATTAACATGAGCATTGATTGATTAAAAGGAAGATCACCCTAAGAGCCTGCAGAGTCCCAACGAGCCCACTCAGCACTGTTTATCCAGCAGTAAACCTGGAATCTTTCTGTGAATGGGTTTTGGTAATTAGGCTCCACTTGTGTGTACTCCGGTACTTTTTTTCTTCAAATAGGACAATATTTAATGAACAAGTGACATAAATAAGTGACCAATTAAAATAAAAAATTTATTTAGGTAACCTGTGTTTATAGATCATCTAAAATTTTAAACCAACCGGGTCTTGCTATCTCTCCCATAGTTTCTGTCACATTACTAGACATTTAATCAGACTAAAAGAGGGACAGAGATCTTGCTTTATTCTTTTTTGATGACAGTTACACAAATTTAGGGCTAGGTTACATCTAACAACCAACATATTATATAAGATTTGTTTAAGCAAAACTTCAGCAGGATTCAGTGTTTCAAGAGAATATTCAACCCGGTCATACCTTTATTTATTGTAAATATACTGTAACACCACCTAAATGATATTTGTGCACCACCCATGTTTTTTTCATTCCGTCCTTTGCTCTTCTTTAAAACATGGCTTCATTGGATTTGGTTGTAATGTTTCATCTACAATGGGTAGATTCAGTGCTCTGTCTTTCTTTACAGGTCAGGAGGGAACAAACTCAGAAATGATGTTGATAAGATTTGAATGAAAGGTCTTGGGGTCCCTCAGTAGTAAATACAATAGGATAATTTACATCAGTGGTTCTTTTCAGTAATACAGCGACTGAGAGCTTTACATTAAGTCCAGGATTCACATCAGCCTTTTGATGCTCATCGTATGCGAGGAGTAGAAATAATGGGCTGCTGGTTGGGAACGATCTGACTCTGGAAGACAGGCTGTAGAAATAAGCCCAGGGTGCCCACCACACACACTATCACAAAGATCCACAGGAACATCCGATCCACCACCATGGCCACATACTTCCAGTCCTCGATTACCTGCAAAAGGACAGACAGTTTTAAAGCTTTTTCACAATTTAATCTCTTTAAAGTGTCGAAAACGTTCAGAAATGTAAAAGTTTTGATTTTGTTTTGATTTTAATATGATAAAGTTACTAATGGAAAATATGAATTAATACAAAATAATAATTGTAATAATATTGTGAGGCATGGCAAGTTTATCTTTATAGCATGTTTTACTGGCAAGATAATTCATAGTACTATACAGGAGGAAAAGAAATGAAAAGAAGAAAATTGACACATTAAAATAAGTGGATCATATATAAGAAAGATTATGTAATTGATAAATAAATAAAATACTAAATTGATTAACAAAGTGATAAACAGTTAGACCTGGAAACTTAACTCATATGTAGATAACCACTGTAGACAAATACGTTTTTGGTCTCGGCTTTCAGTGCTTTAAAATTTTTCTGGGAGTTTATTCCTGATTTGTTTAGCATAATGTTTCTGGTTCTGGTTCTAATTATGTAAAGCAGATTAAGGCCGGAAGACCTGGGAGGCCTTGGTGGTTGAAACAATGATAACAATTCTGTAATGTATTTTAGAGCTAAGCTATTCAGTGATGTATAGACTATCTGAGATATAGGAAGCCAGTGTAACAATGTTAGCAAACCAAGAGCACAATGTAAGACCATGCAAATATACTTTTCCTCAGTTGAGGCCAGTGTTTTTGATTCCACAACGGAGAGAGAATATTCCCATTGGATAGTTCCAAAGGAAAAGCTACTAGTGACCGAAAGCAAAAGCAAAAACACACATTGTCAAAAAACAGACAAAACAAAGCAAAGGAGTATGAAGGAAAATACACAATTGTCAGGTAAGACAATATTGGATCTTTTTGGAAAGATCAATCCATCGATCGATCGATCGATCGATCCATCCATCCATCCATCCATCCATCCATCCATCCATCCATCCATCCATCCATCCATCCGATGGATGGATGCTGTTTTCCGACCATAGATGGGCAGCATGTTTTAAAACACTTCAGTAAAAATACACAGAAGCAAATCTAAATACAAGAGTGTGCAAAATAAATCCTTCATTGTTAATTTAAAATGAAGAAATAGAAATTTACAAGACAATAAATAATGTGCATTCAGATAACAGCCTGTATTATGATTTTGTTTATGCAGACAACTTTTTATCCAGAAACTTTTGCCACTTGATCTGACGTGAGGAATGGTCAAGATGCTAAAGTTACACAATGGAAAATATAACAAAATATGCAGAGTAAAATTCTAACCAGAGACACTGGAATAGTTGTTGAATTGATCAAAATCCACCGTAACAAATACCTTAAAGTTCCCTAAGGTTGCATTAACAGTCTTGTTTGTCTTTCAAAGAGATACGGAGAAATTGTCAATTATGCTTGTCCATACATGGTTCCCTCTCATGTTTCGTAACTCTTAGTTCTAAACAATAAATACAAACCTTTCAAAGCAACTTAAACAAGCGCAAAACGGAAAAGAGCTATCATTCACTTTTTGTTTACAAACATTTTTTATGCATTTTGTGAAAAATTTAAAAATGTTGGTATTAATCTGCATACGTACACTTTGATCATCATCGTCGCTCATCATGTGCTCAGCCACAAAGCGTACTCCATTCACTGCCTCCTGTACATCAGCAGCCCAGTCAGAGTTGCTTCTCTGCTGGAGGTCCTGAGTTGAGCTGAAGCCAGTGAAAAGGTAATCAGAAGACCGCAAGGGTTCCATTCTGTTGGTGTAGCTGTGTCCCATCGGAGGGGCTATATTTTTGTGTCCTGGAGTGGAGAAGGCAGAGTCAGAGGACAGCAGGGCAGAAGTAGAAAAGGTGAATCCTTTTTGGGGGGCAACTGGGTAACCCGTAATAGCTCCCCTGGCCCTTAGACTACGCTTCCGCCGAAGTTTCTGACTGGCGGAGAAGTGCTGAGGACGTTTCATGAAGAGCATAGCAGGTAGTTTCACAAGGAATATCAGCTTGACCCAGGCAGGCATTGTATGGGTGCTTGGAGAGCGATGATGCACATTAAGGACACAAACACTGGTAATAATGGAGAAGGTCACTAGCACCATGGTGAACATCAGGTACTTGCCAATTAGTGGTACATCTAGTGATGTAGGAGGAACAATCTTTGAGATTAAAAGAAGGAACACAGTGAGAGCCAAGAGGACAGAAATGCAAAGTGTCATCTTCTCCCCACAGTCCGAAGGCAAATAGAAGACCAGAATGGCCAACGAGGTGATCAGAACGCATGGGATGATGAGGTTTATGGTGTAAAACAGAGGCTTCCTTTTGATGATAAAGTCATATGTTAGGTCCACATAAGTAGGATCCAGAGGGTCCACATTTCGTCTGCCTGGTAATGCCAGGATGTCCCATTCTCCACTTGGTGTAAAGTCATCCATACTAGCAGCCTCAGACTTTAAGATCAGGTCAATTTCTGTGTGGTCGTAGGTCCAGGAGCGAAACTTAAGGGTGCAGTTCTGCTGGTCAAAGGGGAAATGCTTGACTTCAATCTTACAGGCACTTTTATAGATGGCTGGAGGAAGCCAGTTGATGGTACCATTGAAAAGGACAATGACATTAGTGAAGACAGTGACCTCATAGGTTCCATCGGCACTGTGGTGATGAATGGAGAAAAGACAAAAAAAAAGTTTTAAACTTCTTACAAATTAGCTTCTAAGGCAAATGCTGTCAGCACTGTAATCTGTGTAAGTTCAAAACGAAATCCACAAAATCTGCAGCTTGGTCTTTGTTAAACTACAGAGGTTCCATTACAGAAGTGACAAAGTAAAATGGAAAAAATGCTATGAGAGTAAGGATGACCAATGACGGATTTAAACTTCTAGATGGTGTAGATTAGCCTAATTTTGGCTGTTTTATAATTAACCAGTCGGGAAACCAAAAGTAAATAGGTACACTACATAATGCAGACAACTTTTCTACATTTTGTTTTCTCTAATATTTTATGTCTGAGGTAAACACTTAAAAATAACAAAGCAACACAACTTACTTGTTGTACAGGACAATATCAGGAAGCCAAACATGTCGGGAGGGAATACGCAGCTTGTCAATACCTTCATATTTTGCAGGGTCCCATGATAATCTGTAATCAACCCAGTGCTGGAGAGACAGTCGGATCTGGTCAGATTACAGAGCTCTCACATAACACCAACTCATTTCTCATTACATGCTTGATTATTACTGAAATATTGTTTGAAGCTATTTTAAAGAAGCAATTCGCTCCATGTTGAAATGTAATAATTGCCATGGTTTAATTCTAGTTTAAAGTGAAGGGCATTTGGTAGGCCACAAAATGTTACACTGCACTCTATAAACGTACCTGAGTTAGCCAGACATTTGTGGTCATGATCTGTTCTCTTTCATTCTGGAAAAAGAAACATTTGGCAGCAATTATTTACAATAAATGTTTTAGGAACATACACAATAAATGATCTAGACAGAATATCAAAATTGCGTTGGGAAACAAAGAACATCCTGATTGTCATAATGAGCATTTTGCAAAAGGTTCATAATATGTAAATAAAAACATAACAGGAACAAAATGACAGAACAAAACAATCAAATGCAGTCAATATTTGCCCCATTTCCAATTTGCAAGACTAGCTCCTCCCAACCATGTGATTTTATTGCTGTTAAAGCATTTGCAAAACCATAAACCATTTTAAAGCCACAACTGCAAAGTTGGAGACACTCTAGCAAACATAGTTTCTGGTCTGCAAATTCAGAAAAAAAATTTGTTGCTTGATGAGGGAACTTGTTCATTAGCTGAGTAAATTAAGTGAATTATGTGTCAATATATAGCTATATCGCCAGTCTGTCGCAGGGCTTATGATAGATAGATTATGATATTTAATGTAATATGAATTGAGGTGTCTGGTAGCGCACAACCTTTTCTAACTAATTCAGTTTGAAACTATAACATTTTGGACCTTTGCACATTGATTTAAATACAAAAAAGGAAGAGCAGGAAGGAAGCTGTTCTGAACACTCCTACTCTCCACGACCACCCAGAGGTGTGTGCCAGTAGACATGATCTTCTTTTATCCTTCCTGCCACTGAAAAACAGCCCTAGCATTTGTAACCCCATAATAACACCGAAAATTTGGCAGAGCAACCCTTAAGTTTGGAGTTCTGTAGAAGAAATTTGATATTCTAAATGTTTTCTCTAAAACGTAATCAGATAAAGTGTTTTTGGAATTAGCTTTCAAAAGTGCAGAGATTTAAGTTGTCATAAATTGGCAGAGCGTTGCCTCAGACAAAAGTGATGGGTGGAAAATGCCATTAGCTCTTTTGTCTTGTACTGCAGAGTTCTAGAAGCAAACAGATAGGGGATTGGTCCGAAAGATATTGAGTCATGAAATGTTATTGATAATGAAAAGCATCTATTTCTAAATCATAGCCACAATTTGGGTTTTGGGAGTAAGAACACAAAGATGCAAGCCTTTTAGATCGAAGAGCAGCAAATTCAGACTCCAAGCAGCTGGTGTTCTTAATCTTCGAATCATTAACCTTTTTATGAGCTCAAAGGAGGTCGTAATTACTCTCAGATGAGCTGTTATCTGGATGTCTGCTGATTAGTAAAACGTTTCATTTAAACCTGTTCTGATCTTTTTTGACAACCTTGTCAAAAACGTTGCTAAGTTACTAGTACTAGTCATAAGTCTTGTAAAAAAAACAGTGTGTCTACCTCTAAATGGGAAATGTAATCTTGATAAATGGGATGATTGCATGTTTTAAACCTTGAGAGCAGCTATTTGCATTAAAACATTTTAAAATGTGCTGCAAAAAAAGTTGAGGCTTTTGAAAAAAATAATGCATCCGTTTTTGGCATCAACTTCTAATAATATTCAGTTACTTTAACAGAATTGTTTCATGTTAGCTGGGTAGGACATGAAACAATTATGTGAAAGAAACTAAATATAATAAGAAGCAGATGCCAAAAACGGTTCCACTTCCAATTGACTGACTACCATTAAACATAGCTTAGAAATGCTAAAATAATTAATAGGGATGCACGATATAATCGGCCCCCTATCGGTATTGGCCTGTATCGGCCTTAAAACTGAATATCGGACATCGGCCATATTTGATCAGCTTCTGAGTTTCTAAAGTCTAAAGAAAAAAAAAATACTACTTCTTCTTCTTCCTCAAAAACTTCTTTTTTTACAGACTTAAAAACTTCTAAAGACGAGGGAAAAAATATTGATACATTAAAATATCACAATATCTTCATATGCTGATATATTGCCATTTAAAAACACCATATCAATCTCTTTTACTATATGTTGATATATTGACGCGGTATCGATCTATTTTACTAACAAAATCTCACAAGAATTTGCAAAATATCACGACAGTTTGTAACAGAGCGATGAAATTTCACGAGATTTTGAAAGTAAAATAGATCGATACCGCGTTTTTAAAAATCTATTTGATATCAGCATATGAAAATATATTTGAGTATATTATTTTTCAAAGTGTCAGAAATGGATAACAAAACTGCTATTTTCAATGACTACTTATTTTTGTCCAGCTTTAACATCGGTATCGATATCGGTTATCGGCTACATGAGTTTTAAAATATCGGCATATCGGATATCGGCCAAAATCCCAATATCGTGCATCCCTAATAATTAAAATCTAATTAAGAAACGACTTTGAATGAGTTTTCTTCTAAATAGAAAGTATCTTTTATTTGCTCTCTATTCTTTAAATCAATATCCATATTTACACATAGATTAAAGTATAGCAAATAAAATGGAATGACAAATTATTCAATAGCCATTCCAATTCCCCTCCCATCATGCCACTAAAACTTGTACTATCAATAAGGGGCATCCAAATAGCAATTACCAAAGGGGTGAAATTGAAGCTCATAAAGTGAGGCTGTGAATGAGCTTCCTGTCCCGAACTGCAGCTGACAGCAGTCTCCATTGTAAATCAGAGAGAAGCCTTGGTCGCTGTGGCTAAAACAGGTTTATTGCCTCTTTTAATCCATTGTGCTGAAGTTTCAATCTAGACATGACATAGGCAGAGATGACAGCTGACCAGATCTACTATCCTACCTCATCATTTGTTGAGAGCTTCATCCTGAAAGAACCTACTACGTAATTAACTACCTTTAAAAAGCTTTTTTGTGTTCTACATCCCAGCTGTCCTCTATCTTAAGGTTGGTCTCATGTCTACCTATTTGTTTCCACAACCCATTGACCCTTTTACATGCAGATATACAAATACATATTTGTGGATTGGCTGCCTTACCACACTGATAAGTTGTGCAAGGGACACTTGAAGCTTTACTGTAACTCTCTCAGTCCTGTTGACGGCCGGTCGAATGAGTGGATTGTAGCGATCCGTTCCTAGCAGCCAGTTCATCAAACGTTCCTCTGAGTCAGCACTTATGCTACCTGGCAACACAATCGTGTTTGTCATTTTTTTATGGGACAGTAGAAGCATGAAGATGCAAAATTTAACTTCACTAAAATAAACCTCATCAATTCTGGAGGGAAGAGAAGATAATGGTCAATGCACTGCAGGAAAATCTAGGAATGAGTAAAGATTTCTTAAAATAAGTGTATTTACCCAAAATGTTAGTAGGTAAATAAGATGATGTAACAACCTGGCTCTATTGTGACCAAAAATGGGGTATGGACCCAACACCTTGATTTATGGAAGCCACTGGAAGCCACTGCCTTTTATACAGGGCTGAAGTAACACATCAGGTGTGGCCAATGACCAACGGATGCACTCCAATAAAAACCCTCCCTGCAGCAGCTCAACCAGAACCCGGCAGGGTCATCACAGATGATCTGCCGATCAACTGAGTAATTTACCCTTAAAATAAGCTCATTAGATATTGTGCACTTGAAATAAGATGCTTTTCCTATTTGAAATGTGAATTGTCTTATTCCATTTGCAACATGTCTCATTTATCTGCTCACTTAAAAAAAAGCACTTATTTTAAGAAAGATCGACTTAGATTAAAATTATTAGCTGTATACTATTTGCAGGTTCAGGCAATTAAATGAGCATAAGCATATAAAAAATAAAAAGTTAACTTTTAAGGTTTAATATCTTTAATTTTTTTTTCAATATAGAGTATTTTTTGCAAACTGGCAGCACATGAAAGTGCTTTATGCATGCAAACTGGTAGAAAGTTTAGTGGAAGGAGTAGTAAAAGGTGCCCAAGAAGCAGAAATAATTGCTTAATTGAGACGATTGTGAAGCCAATTCATGAATTAATAGTAAACATGGACATGGCCAACAAACATTACATTCCTTATGTTAAACCATCCTAAACCAGCAAGGGCAATGAAAAAGCAATAATTTAAACAGGTCTGTTATGGTTCTCCCCTTTTGGGACTTTGAGTATTTAGTTTTCAGTTATATAAGTAATTCTGTTTTGATGATCTTTGGTTTATTTTCCATTTTATGTTATATTTAAGCAGCCTTTAGTTACTCTCTGTTGCCCCCTTGTGCCTGTCTCCTTTCCCCTAGCTCCCTTCTAGTCACTTCTATCCACACCTGCTCCATATGAGCTGATTACCCCAGTCTTTGTTCTGTCTCCCAAATATACTCTCCCTATGCAGTTCCTCCGTGCTGGCTCCTCTTTGTTTCTTGGCTCCCCATGTGTGTTTTCTCCTTACGTCTCCGGGGCTTTTGGGTTCATTTCTTGGATTTAGTTTCTTCTTCCCTTTGACTTCATTAAACCTACAATTACTCATCTCTGCCTCCCTCATCTCTGCATTTGTGTCCTCAACCAACCACCCTCAAGTTGACAGTAGCCGATATAGAACATAGGACCTTTAATTTTTTTCAAAAGTATTCATACACCTTAAGCTTCCTGCGTTTTGTCAAATTAGAACCCCACAGTCATCAGTATATTTTATTTTGGATTTAAGTGATATATTGCCCTTGATGTAAAGGCAATGCATTTTCTTACGCCAAACCTTTACCACTCAGATTATTTTCCCTTTTTCATTAGCGGCTAAAGAATCAGAAAGATAATTGTAAATACTACCAACACCAAATAAACTCAAATTTAGAAGTTAAAGATAAACTAAACATAGAAGCTTAAACAAAATTGGTAACACTAACATTAACCAAGTTAGTCTGTCTCTTGTTCAATTGAAATTTCCAAAATAGACACTTTTTAAACATTTTTCATTGATATACCAATTATTTTGTGAATATTAAAAAAACGTTTTATTAGTTTCACTGTAGAACATCCAAAGAACACCTTGAGAATGCAGGTCCTACTGGGAGCTTTCTCTAGGTGTTACATTTGATAACTCAAGAAGGATGAAAACAAATACCCAATACACTTTTCAGATTCTTGTTTGTATTAAAATGCCTAAAAAGCAAGGTATCCTTAACCTACCTTCTTGTAAAAAAGCCTTACCTGTGTCTTGCCCTTGCTTATTTCAAAAACAAAACCAACTAAAACTGATGGGAGATCAGTTTCTTCTAAATAAGATTGACACTTCTTCTGTTTCTTAATGTATTCAGGTTAAGGCTAGATGTTCCTAAAAGTCCCCACATTAGAGCAGCTAATATAACAAACACATTTATGGTAACCATTTAGGAAGACAAAGCAGTTATCTTTTAGAGGCTTTATTCTACTCTGTACAGCTATGGGGTTTTGGTTTGAGCTTCCTGTTGATGTGACTCAAACTGTGTGCCATTACCAGCCCCTGAACTCCTGTTGCTTTGTGGGCTGTGGTGCAGTAACCATCTACCCCCTCACAGGTTGGTGGATAGTGACATGACAGCTATTGTCAGTCACTTGGCATAGTGGCTTCCAAGGTGCTATTCAACAGATGGTGTGTCGTCGAAGCTCTTGGAAAACAGAGTCAAACAAGCTGTTTCTTCCCCAGAGGTGAAAGCTTTTTGGTCTGCACAGATGAGCTGCTGTGAACAGACCCAAAGACACGTTTCTGTCTGTGTGTGTAAAGGCTAAGCATGGCAAACCACACAAGCTGCTTCTGACTCCTTAAATGACATTATAGTGATTTATAGAGGGAGGTCAGGCGTATTATGCCACAGTAAACCATTTTAGAACTGAGACGGTTCTAAAATAACTGAAAAAGCATTATCCTCAGAGTGAGGTTAAAAATCCCTTTTTTATTGGTCATTTGCTTTACTGACATCAGTTTATAACATTAGACTAAAGTAATATTATTAATTTTTCCCATTTTTTTTCTTAACCCTCATAACAGATTTATTTCTGTGACACAAAACATGATTCCAAACCAAAGTACTTATAATTTACTTTTTTTTTTTCATTTTGAGTATGTTCTAATTAGAATGTATAATCAAAAGAACAGCAAAACAAACATCAAGCAGAGAATATTAAGACTTACTTTATCAATAGATCTGAATTGTATTTGTTTTGATGTATCTTTATGTGAAGTTTAATTACAGGATACTTTACTGATGTTTTACAAGTTTTCCACAAATAATATGTTGTTTTTCTTCTTTCATTCCCTGTAATTAAAATATCAATCAAAAATAAAAATGTATGTTTATAAATCCATAAGAGCTGGTAACTTTTAAAGTTATAAATTAATTGCAGGAACAATCTAACTGAAAAAAACAAAAACAAAAAAAAAACACATGCGATTTATATTGTTTAATAAATAAAACAAAATGAAAGAGAAACTTACAGCGAATTAAAGTCATAACGAAGTAAGCGCGGATGAGGAGCGTCCGAGTCATTTTGAAGACACCATCTGGTCCGGTTCTGCGCTCCTCACAGCTCCTCTCCTCGGATACAGACCACTGGACGCGCTTTATGGTTCGGTAACTTCACTCTGTCGATGTCCGCTCATGGCCCTCTGCTCTCACATCAGCCACTGAGAGAAATGCAGCGATTTCTAACGGCTTCCCTGCAGCAGCAGCAGCAGCAGCATGCACACCGAGCTCTGCTCAGTCTGCTTTCTGCAGGTCCTGTGCAAGTTTGCACCAACAAAGCAGCTTTTCTGAACAGGCAGTGTTGGATAAACAGTTAATGCATTTGTTTTTTCCCTTTTAATAATCATAAATGTTCTTTTAAAGACAATTACAAACCATTACCATAAAAATATTTTTACTGATCTACAGGTATATCTTAATCAATTAGAATAAAATAGAAAATTTGTGTATTTTAGTTTATTTGTTCAATAACAATAATGATAATTATAAGTGTTGTGGGTAGCACTGTATGGAGGACCAACTCTGCCATATTTAAAAATAAATACAGAAATAAATGAATGCTCAATAAATATATAAGCATACAATTAATTGCCAACAAAAATACACTAAACAAATAAATGTAAGTAGAAATTCAATTATACAGTGTAACATAAATGTATATAACTCTTTAATTTAGCTTCTTTATTTATTTGCCTTTGTAATATTTACCTTATTCATTTTTTAGTCCTTTATAATCTTCAACTTTATTTTTTAATTACTTACATTTTTAAGTATTTATTTATGTGCAAATTGTATTATCTTTGTCTGTTTTATTCTTCCTTTATATTTTTTTACCTTAGTTATTTCTTCCCCGCTATTTATTTCTGTCTGCTCTTGTCTGTATGCATTTCTGCCTCATTATGTAAATGAGGATGGGGGGTGTCCTAGAGAGTCAACTTCTGCTCATTGGTTGCAGCCCATCTTCTTAACTCACAGAGCTCTGAGTACTAAGTTAAATGTTCTCTTTTCTGTTGCTGTTGTTCAATAAAAGTACGTTTTAAGATTATTTGAGGCGAGAACATTACACTTTTAAGCATCTCCATATGGCCCATTCACAGATTTAATGCGTAATTTAAAAGAAAATGTTCCGAACTTGAGAGGACCGCGGCAACCAGCGGAGCTCCGAAGCTAACGGCAGCCCGTCCACAGCGGCCCTCTCTCGGCAAAGCCGTGTGTGAAGCGTGTTGGTTAGCATTTTACTACATCGATCGAATCTACAGGAGGAGAGTCTGAAGTCAAGACTGAAGTCATTAGAACGGGAGTAGGGACTTAGCCAAATTCAACAAAAAATCGCCATCATAGCCAGCGGTTCTCCAACTCTCCATAGTTCTCCTGTGGCACGAGCACAGGGCGACTGTTGCGCGCCTTTAGTGAGCATGCGTGTTTACTGTCGCTTGCGCGGTAAATCGTGCCGCCTGTGCTGTGCGGAGATGCAGGGGAAACCGTATGTGATGGGGAAACGCAGCTTGACGTAACACCGGTATTTCCATCTGGAAAACGATGTTTTGCTGCTGGAGTCATCCTCACTCTCCATCTCTCTGTGTGTGCTGTACGTTAACAACCACCAGCGGAAACACCCGCCTACCCAACTGACAGAGGGAATCTCACTATACATCAGCCAATCTCATCCTCCCCTCTCTCACAACAAGGCGCGCACGAGTCCTATCATGAAAAAAAGGTTCATTTTACAATCAGGCGGGTTTAAAGAGGAATTTTTCACAATCACAAAGGGGGCCTACCAGTTGTCAGTTGACGGGGCCCCTAAGAGGTGGGGGCAACTGCAACTGCAGTCTCTGCTAACCGATATTTACGGCATTGTCCCTGAGCATGTGTGGGTTCTCTCCGGGTACTCTGGCTTCCTCCCACAGTCCAAAAACATGACTGTTAGGTTAATTGGCTTCTCTAAATTCTCCTTAGGTGTGAGTGTGTGTGTGAATGCTTGTTTGTCTCTGTGCTGCCCTGCGATGGACTGGCAACATGTCCAGGATATACCCCGCCTGTAGACAGCTGGAGATAGGCACCAGCACCTCTAACCACCCCACTTGGGATTAAAGCTACAGTGTGTAATTTTCAGCGACATCTAACGTCCAGACTACAGACCGCAGCAACATGAACATCTCCCCCCCTTCGCTTCTCCCCCCCAACAGTACGGCGAGCGTTACGGGACAAAATGTCTTCCACGACGTCCGCATCACCTACCTTATCAAGTGATGAGGTTTGTTTACATAGATAATTTTACAGATAGTATTTCATTAGTCTGTGTAGGGTATAGATTTCAGTACCGTCTCAGTTCATCTCTCTCAACTTGCCGTAGTTACTTTCGAGCGTAATGGGCGATCTCGCAATCGCTAGTTTGTTGGCTCTGCGCTGCCGTAGCGCAAAGATGTCTGCCTCCATGGCTGCGAGACCCGCTCCTATGTAATTATAAATAACGAATTCTAAGGCAACGCAAATATTAAGGTTAAGAGGCTGAGCTCGTAGATGATGATAAATAACATAGTTATGTATAATATATTACATTTCTGACTGTATATCCCTGTATTTATTACACACTGTAGCTTTAACATGTCAGAAAATGGATGGATGGATATTTAAAATAATAATAAAAGTGGTTTAGAGGGACATTATGGAAAGCCACAAAATAAGATACATATTAGATCAACAGATTAGCACATTATCTATTCTAGGCTAGTCTAATGTTGTGCTATGGCCAGCACATTCAAGTGGAAGATTGTTGATTTGACAGATGTCCAACAGACAGTGATTGTCATCCTTAACAAGGCCACAAAAAGTAGGTACTAACAAAGCTGGATGATTCCAGCTTCCAAGCACATCAACAGAAAGCTTGGTGGAAGGAAACAGGATTGTTGAAGTAAAGGTCATTGATGATTTTTGGAATTTTGAAATGGACTGAAGCCTTATTGAAAGAACCATATGAAATGGGCTAAAATTCCTAGATCCTTTGTGTCCAACCACTGCTGACCCAGATGTCTATTACCAAAGTGAAGGAAGAAACACAATAATGTTAGTTCATAAAACTCTGCCAAGTGCTCTGCAAAACTGGCATAAGAAACACCATTAGATGAGTCTGAATCGCACATAGTACTAGTAGACATGCTGGTGTGTCATGCTGTTTGTCGTAAGAAGTGCTGTAAGATTATGCTGTGCTGACATTATCCAGTAAATGTGGGCTGTGTGGGCTGTGTGTGTGGCTCATTCTTCTCAGAGTGATTCACGTTCTTGTTCATGTTCATTACTTCAAAACGGATCCGTTCAGTTCACTGTTCACTAAAAATATGAACACATTCAGATAACGTAGTTCATGCACAACACTGTCAGTAGATTCCAAAATATTAATTCAAAAACAGGGTCTCAGCTTGTTGTTTATTTCCATGCATGTGTGTTTAGGGTGGTGATGACTGCTTTGGCCTGCATGCTCAAACACACCACTTTGTAGCTGTTTATCCACATAGGGATATCATGAAGGAGATGCAGCAGGATGGAGACTTCAAATTACTCAAATCTCTCTGGTGCTTTCAAATGAATAGAATAGAAAATCTCTTTATTGTCCCATGATGGGGAACTTGGGATGTTATAGAAGCAAAAGCATTGCAGTAAAAGTGGTCACACAAACGTGGACCTAAAAAAGTGTATAAATATAACTGAATAAGTGGCAGAGATAAAAAAAAATAAATAAACAACAATAATGTACTATAAAGTGTTTGGGGCAGTTACAGAAGAATAATGTAGTCAGGTTTTGTGATATCACTCCTAACTGATAAAGAAGATTATTATACACACTTAAAATGAGCATCCCCTGGACGGGGCATCAGGTAAGTTCTGCTGAGATCCTTTTCTTCTTCTGTTCTATTTTCCAGATTTACACGAACCTGTTTGTGTTCTTACTACTGGAACCACTTTATATTTTGCATTATAAAAAAACAATTTCATTTTTTTTATTTTTTTTTTTAGGATTGTTTGTCATTTACCAACACAAAGCAGTGTGTGGTTGTAAAGTAAAAGAGAAGCAATTTATATATATGTTTTCCCAAACTTTTTAAGGATTAGCATATAATTGTAGCAGTAAAAATGAAAGGGATACAAATACTTTTGGAAGCTCTATTATGATCAGCCATCTTCTTCTTTTCTATTGGCACTATGACATGACGCTTCCATGTTTTTCCACTTATTTCCAAAATAATGTGCAGTGGTACAGTGTAGAGAAATAAAGAACAAAAAGGTAACATTATCCAGCATATAGGCAGGAGAGGGGAAGGAGTCCTTACAGGAGAAAGATTAGCAAGTTAACAGAAATCCCACTGAGGACCCAACTGATGAGATATATGGGCCTGCTGTAATCAGTGGAGTGGAAACAGTTGAATAATTACTCTGACAAATAACAGATGTAGGTGAGAAGGAAGTGGTGCAACTGAGAGGAGCTGGATGGGGACGCAGAATAAACAGACCAGAAACACATCACCCGTGGAAGGCTAATAAAAAAACAAATAATAAAATACAAGAATTTAAAATAAAGTAACCAAAAAGTAAAATAATTATTACAATTTCTAAGGTCAGATTGACACCTAAATTAAAGTCAGACGGATATGAAGGTTAGAGACGTATTTAAGCCTGAATTCTCAACCAACTTTTTCATCACAGATCTGAGGACAGTCCCTCTTTTTCATTAAGCTGATCCTGATTTATAATACAGGCTTATAACCATTAAAAATGTAGATATGATTTATTGCCAAAACACTTTTATTCTTATTATGATTTACCTGAGATCAAACATGACTTCTACAAAGGAATATACTTAAAAAAAAAATTAAAGATTCATATTTATTACCTCTCTAAGCCTTTTTTATTATTTAGATACTCCTGTCACGCAGGGAAAGGTTATTTCCTTCTTTATTGTATTTTTGGTGTCTTGCATTTCATTTACATGTTATTTTTTGCAGATTTAGTGAGATTTTGCAGATAGCTGCATGTCACAGTTTTCCTCATTCT